TTTTTTATCAATTTTAATCTGGAGAAAGATCTTTCTCCTTCTGCATTTGATCCAAGAATCGACAAATATATTCTTAATGCAATGTGAACGTTAGGAAAAGTATTCACAAGTTTATCTTTAATTTGAGCCTTCAACATTTCTTGTGCAGATTTATGTTCATACAAATAGTAAAAAATAGTAAAACTGAAAATAGTAAAAATTCATCTACAAAGTTTTCCTCTAAATCGAATGAGTAAATTTTCACCAAATTTTGCGCTTTTCGTTTAATCTCAGATTCTGACAATTTTTTGTGAACAAGAAAACCGAAATTATCGTACAAATCACTGTAAGCTTTACACCTTTTAGTCATTTCTGAAATTAATGCATATGAAATGGCGTTCTTTGTTGGTTTGTTGTTGTATTGTTGACGTGAAGTGTTTACATAGTTATCGATCAAACTAATCATAATGGTATTATCGATATCAACTGCAATATCGGCAGTATGTCGGTATTGCAGATAAAGTACGATAAACAAATTTGTAAATTAAAATCCATATTAATAAAAACGTTAAAAAAAATATGCAAGAAAATTTTAGCATGTATTTTGAAAAGGGGGAAGGAGGGGAGGGCCCAAAAACGGCTATGCCTAGGGCCTACGAAAGGTATAATCCGGCTCTGATCACAAACAAACAGTTGAGTCTGTATGTGAACTATACATCCTAATTTTTTATCTATTAACTAAGTGATTCATGTTTTTTTAATTAAAATTATGGTATTCTATATTTATTAATTTGTTCTTGTAAATTTTTCTGTGCATAATGATTGCTTAAGACTAGATGATTTAATTTACTTCATTTTTGGTTGGAAGTTTATTTATGAAATTCAATAACCAAAATAGCATAATTTATTGCAACTCTCTCTTTCTATTGGTCATTGTACCCTATATTCAGTGTTTGAATATGCATCTAAGGAAATGGCACTGAAACATAAAAAGTTTTTCGAAGAAGTCTTTTTAAGATTAACTACAATGTGTTGTGTAATTGTAGTATTGAATTCCAGTATTCATTTACTTTTTCTGCTTAGCTCAGCAGGATATATGTTGTAGAATTTTTGTTGTTCACACCCATTACCTTGGCTATGTTTGTGTAGAGGTACTTCTGAGGGGTTTGAATTCTGCAGTTTGTTCCACGGCACTGTTCTGTCCCAGTAATTTTTTTTCTGCACATAAAATTTGATTTTTACATTAGCTGTGCTAGAATTTTCAGTAGACCACTGGATTTTTCTCAGTTACTCATTGTTTTCTAAATTTAGTAAAAAATTATACTAATTTGTAGAATTTTTTAAAAAATTCCTTAAAATCACAAAAGTTTCTAAAAATTATTCCTATTAAAATAAATTTTTTACCTAGTTTATTACTTTCTTGACAGTTTAAATAAAGTATTACTATTACAAGAAAAACAACATAAGCCTAATTAATAGTAATCACTTTAAGGCATGTAAAATTATTTTTCTTTGTGTGAGATTCTTTTATGTATATATAATGTTTATACTGTTGTCCTAGTTGTAAAAATTTTCCGCACACAATTTTTGATTTCCCAATTTATTTTCTATGCTTAATAAGAAGGATTTTTTGGTTTAATTTTTAACTAACCTTTGAGTTAATTTGTCTTAATGATTTGATTTTATTTTTCCATAGACTTCTCAAGTAACGACACCAACTGATTTGAGAAGTCCACCTGCTGCTCAAGTTCTGAAGACTCCTTATGAAAAAGCATGGCTTGTTAAGAAGTGGTACAATTTTGATCTACGGTATCCTTGGCTCATAAAACCATTATTAATAAACCATGTTATATTTTAAATTAATTTAATTATTCTGATATTATGTCGAGACATGATGTCAAATAGTTTTGCAGCATTTTTTTCTCATAAACATTTTTTTAAAAACTTCTTGCTTTTTAACTAAAATGCTTAGATCTTCAATTTTTATTTTATTTAGAATAATCTTATGAAACTTTGTGTCATTAGAAACTTTCTGTTATCAATTATTAAAATATTCTCCTTTTTTTGTAATTATTATTTACATCTGTTTTGTTATACCTGCTAAGTTACTTTATGTAATTATACTGAAAGAAAACACAAATAATTAAATTCGAAAAGGATAAAACTTCTTTGAAAAAAACGCGCTAAGAAGCAGCAGAAATTTCAGAAAAAAGTATCAATAAAAGAAACGAAGGAAATAAAAATATGACCACCGAAGCCGACGTCTTCAGGGGGTACCGGCCTCGGTAGCCATTAAAAACAAAACCATTTCTAATTGAGGGAGAAGCAAATGCTTAAAATATCTCCCTCAGTACCCCTATGGTTTTGTATAGAGGTCCAGGAAAAACAAGATACATTCAAAATAATTAACAAATTAAGAAAAGAAACTCAATCAAAATCATCAGAAAAAAAATAAAAACTCACTAAGTCACAGGTCAAGCATCAACTTCAAAAGCAAGTAGAAGAAAAGAAAACACTAAAAGCTGAAAAAAACAACGCCCCCTATTATAATGCGCAGAAACAGTTTAAAATGAAATGGAAAAGGTCAGGAGAAAGAAATACGTAGACAAATTAATAGAATGCTTAACTGGGGCTGCTTAACTGAACTGGTTTTGTTTTTAATGGCTACCGAGGCCGGTACCCCCTGAAGACGTCGGCTTTGGGGGTCATATTTTTATTTCCTTCGTTTCTTTTATTTATGTAATTATAATATAACTAGGAGGCTTCGCCCCCTGCTCGCTTGCACTTGCCGACCCCCCGAACTGCTGTCGCAGTTCATTTCGGATTGCTTTGCAATCCGATGCTCGCTCATTGGATACGTTCTTAACGTCTAGCTTTTGTATACTTTTCTGAACACTGAAGTTCCGAAAACTTTTCACTGTAGAAAAGTCTAAACCTGTGAATTTCAATATTAATTTGAAAATTGCAAACAGTTCACATATTTTTCTTAATCACACTATTCTAAATTTCAGTTGTTGAGAAAAGTAACTGTTGTAAGTTTTGTTTTAATGTCTTTCCCACCAGAGGGATAAAACCATGTGTTGTAAAACAATATGAAATAGTAGTCTGCCACTGAACACCGGATGTAAAGCATCGGCTTTGATGAAAATAATTTTGTGAGAATTTTTTTTGATAATTCGATGAGAATTCACCCGATTAGACATATTATCCACACTACGTGCTCTTGCGCGCCGAAGCCTTTCAATTAAAACGTATTAGCGTTTTATATAATATAGATTAGCTATATGATGCTCACTACGTGCTCTTGCGCGCCGAAACCTATCAATTAAAAATGAAAACTATTGCCAACGCGAGAAAAGAAATATCATCGGTTTTATTGATACATACATATTAGCGTTTTATATAATATAGATTTTAGAATTCTAAATATTAACTTAATATTTGCAGCTTAATTTTTTTTGTTGTTTAATGTAAGTTTGAAATGTATAAAATGAAAATAACTGCGTGACCAGTTTCTTTTTTAATTCACTGCAATTTCAAACTAGATATTAATTTCCCGATAATAAGTGTCTTAGTAAACTAGCAAGCATTTATTTGCATCCAATTTATGCGTTGAAATCATTGATTTATTCTTATTGAATAATTTTCTAGAGGAAAAAAATAGTAACTATACTATTATTTATAATGAAACCATTACCCTGGTGCCAGAAACCCTCCAGCACAGCAGTGAGTGTTTCAGATTAATTTCCACCTTAAATTTTTTTTAAAATAATAACAAATGGAGAAAAAAGTGCCAGCAGAAAAAATTTACAACAAGTAAAAATTAATAATAAAACAAAAAAAGAAAAGCTTTTTCTATCTTCATTTATGAAGGTTAAAGAATTTTTCCCCCTTTTAAAAATTTTTTTCTTTCTGAAAATAGACATACTTAACCCTCTACTTACGGCGCTTAGTGCGATGAAGCCCGCCATTCTGGTTCACCTGTTATACGAGCTGTAAGCAAAAGGTTAATGTTTATTTTTCTAGTTATTGTGTTATTCCTCTGCAAAATACCTGTGAAATAGTATGGTAAAGAATTTCATTTGAAGAAACTTTAAATGAGCATAAATCAGAACGTCATAGATTACAATTCTGTTAATTTCTTCTTTTTTTTTTATGAGAGAAGTTTTTATTTCAATGTTATCAAATGGAAGTTAAACCCTCCTTTGTGTTATCTTTATTGGTCTTAAAATTATCATTTTTTTTCCCTTTTGGGCTAAGCTAAAATATAATAATAAAATATTCAAATTATATTTAAGTAATATTTTTCTTCATAACTTTATTATATTTATTTTTTGAAATTATGATAAATCTGTTTAAGCTCAATTTTTCCTATAAGAAAACCTCTCTTATGTTGCAGACATATTTGAATTTCTGAAATTTGCACTGTAAATTCTGCTATTCTGCAATCCAGGGATGAGATTCTTCCGCTTTTTAGCGGATTTCCGCTATTTTCACTTTTATCTCTTAAATTTCAGCTTTTTTTATCAAAAATTCAGATTTTCTAAAAATTTCATTTTTTTATAAGTATTCCGCTTTTTCAGAAAATTCACCGATTTTCAAAGAGAAGCAGAAAATTCAAACTACATAGCTACCAATCCTTTCTCATTTTTACTTATTTTACCTATTTTCTCCCCTTTTACATGCAGCAGATAAGATTTTCCGAATTTTTTACCCGCCCTCCAGATAGATCCGATTTTCAAAGTTCAAACTACGCTGCTTCTGACAAGCCTTTTAGAGGTCCCAAGCCTGGAATCTGCTAATATCTCGATTCTTATTCACACGATTTTAATATCAATCATAGCTTTTCATATTTGCGTGTTGCGATTCTTATTCACGCGATTTGAATATTGTATGTTGCGATTCTTATTTACGAGATTTAAAAATCCGATATTGTGATTCGTATTTACGTCTTTTTAAAAACCTATGTAGCGATTTGTATTCACGCAAGTTTAAAATTCAATGTGTTGATTTGCTCATGCGGTTTATAATATCAAACANATCTACGGTATCCTTGGCTCATAAAACCATTATTATAAAACAATGTTATATTTTAAATTAATTTAATTATTCTCATATTATGTCAAGACATGATGTCAAATTGATTTGCAGCATTTTTTTCTCATAAACATTTCTTTTTAAAACTTTTTCTTGCTTTTTAACTAAAATGCCTAGATCTTCAATTTTTATTTTATTTAGAATAATCTTATGAAACTTTGTGTCATTAGGAACTTTCTGCTATCAATTATTAGAATATTCTCCTTTTTTTGTAATTATTATTTACATCTGTTTTGTTATACCTGCTAAGTTACTTTATGTAATTATAATATAATTTTAAAACTCTAAATATTAACTTAATATTTGCAGCCTACTTTTTTTTTCGTTGTTTAGTGTAAGCTTGAAATTTATAAAATAAAAATAACTGCATGGCCAGTTTCTTTTTTAATTCACTGCAATTTCAAACTAGATATTAATTTCCTGATAAGTGTCTTAGTAAACTAGCAAGCATTTATTTGCATTCAATTTATACATTAAAATCATTGATTTGTTCTTATTGAATAATTTTCTAGAGGAAAAAAATAGTAGCTACTGTTATTTATAATGAAACTATTATGAGTATCATTACCCTGGTACCAGAAACCCTCCAGCACAGCAGCGAGTGTTTCAGATTATTTTCCACCTTAATTTTTTTTTTAAATAATTAAAAATGCAGAAAAAAATGCCAGCAGAAAAAATTGACAACAATTAAAAATTAAAAATAAAACAAAAAAGAAAAGCTTTTTCTCTCTTCATATGAGAAAGCTAATATTTCCCCCCTTTTTTTAAATTTTGATACTGAAAAGTGGCATACTTAACACTTTGCTTACGGTGCTTAGTACGATTAAGCCCACCATTATGGTTCACCTATTATGCCAGTTGTAAGCAAAAGGTTAATGTTTATTTTTCTAGTTATTGTGTTATTCCTCTGCGAAATGCCTGTGATATAGTATGGTAAAGAATTTCATTTAAAGAAACTTTAAATGGGCATAAATCAGAACATCATAGATTACAATTCTGTCAATTTCTTCCTTCAATGTGAAAAGAATTTATGTAAATGTTATCAATTGGAAGTTAAACCCTTCTTTGTGTTATCTTTATTGAACTTCGAATAATTGTCTTTTTTTTTCTTCTTTTATACTAAGCTAAATTATGATCATAAAAGATTCAAATTATATTTAAATAATATTTTTCTTCATAACTTTATTATATTTAATTTTTTGAAATTGGCTAAATATGTTTTAGATTAAGCTCAATTTTTCTTTTAAAAATCTCTGCTAGACTGCGTTGTAGCAGACAAATTTGAGAGCACTGTAAATTGGCTCTCTAAATTCTGCTATCGCAGTCATAATTTCAATTATTTGATGATTATTTTTACTGTAATTATGTGATTATTAATTTTTGTGTAATTATTTGGTGATTATCTCTACTGTAATTTTTTGATGTATCCTACTACTTTAAATATTTTATGATCATCCAACTGTAATTATTTGCTGATTATCACTACTATATACTACATGTTTCCTTAATGATTTAATATAGATATATGAAGCCTCTTCTAACTCATAGTAGACCTACTCTTATTGAAACTCTACCTTCTTTTTGTCACTCTATTGCAAGAGTACTCACAAGCACTCAGCAGCTCTCCAATGTATAGTACCTTTTCTCATTCAGATTTTTTTTTCAATTGAAATTAGCTTTTGAATTTTGTACAACCTAAAAACTACTGTATTAGAATGATTTGCACCCTAGAATTTTGTTTTTAGTTTGCCCTGATATATTAAAAAGTAATAATAAAAAGTGTGAAAATGAACACAATTTTATGAGGAAATGATTTTAATTTTTTTTAATGTTAATCTTAATTTATTATACATACAAGCTAGTGTTGTAGTTAAATTTTTAACCTAAAATATGCTTTGATTTGCCCAGTTTGAATTGAGAAATAATATTTGAAAGTGGTAAAAAGAACTTTTTTTTTTAATCTATTGATTCTCCAAATGACTAATTTTCAATTTTAATGAGCCTCTCTAACTGGCAAATTTTTGAATGTAATTATTTTCTTGCTGCAATTAAATATATAATCTACAAGTTTGTTTTGCGTTTCCCTGTCATATTTTAATTAAAAAAAAATCTTTTAAAATAAGAGAAAAAACTCAATTTTGTAATCATATGGTTCTCTAAATAGCTATTTTTTTTAATTTGAATGAGGTTCTTTAAAAGGCTAATTTTTTAATTTAAATAAGCTTCTATAAAGACTAATTTTTTCGTGCTAATCATCTCTTGTTATAAGTTATGCGACCCACAAATCTTGAAACAGAATAATTTGTAACTTACCAATGTGTTAAGGCTTGCCCTATTTTATAGAAAAACGATATGTAAAAGTGAGAATCATAACACAATATTCTGAGTAAATGATTCTCTAAACAGCTAATTTTCAATTATTATGAACTTCCTGGAATGACTATTTTTTCAATGTTTATCTTTTCTTGTTAAATGACCTGTTGTGTATCATAAATATTGTTTCAAAATTAAAATTAAACTCATATAAGGCATACATACATGATACTGAATAAGGCATTTTTACATGAAAAATTCTTATAGGATATCCTGATAATAAAATTTAAAAAGTTAAATCTATCAAATATTTTTTGCGAAGTATCAGAGATAATTGTGCTCCGAAAAAAATGTGCATTTCCGGATTTTTCGCTAATTGCGATCCGGAAACCTAAGGTCCAGAAGTTTAAAGAAATCATCGATCACATTTATGTATAAAAATTCTTGTATATTTTATTTAATAATATTAGAACTAGAATTTATATTTGGAATCTCTTTCATTTGTAAATATTTTTTTCTGGTAGAATAAACAATGTGATTAGAGATAAAAGTAAACTTATACATAATTAATAATTTAAATTATGCTGCATATAATTTATTTAGAATTTCATGTTGTGAAAATATCAATGATTTAAATTTACAAAGACATTAATTTTTTGAAATGCCTCACTACTGATTTTACTCAAGAAATTTTCAGGATTTTTAAGTTGGGCTCACAATCACCCCTGTTTGCCATTATGTTAGGCTTTAAAATTTCATTCATGAGGTAAAATGCAGCAACAATTAAGGGCTTTAAAAAAAAAAAAAAACTAATCAGTTTATTAAATGTATAAAATAAATTGTAATTCATCATAGTAGTCAGTTTTTCTTAAAATGTATGAGCTTAAAATAATTTATAAATATTTCATTACATATATTTATTTTGATTGGTTTTCCATTTTGATTGGCTCCATTTTCCACCCTCTGAAATCAAACCGAAAAATCTGGAAAAAGAGTTCTTTATCAGAAACTAGTTATTTTATCATGATCATATAGTCTTTGAAAACTTATTTGCATTTTGTTAATCAGGGCTGATTGTGCTCCAGAAAAAATCCGGATTTTTCGCCAACAGTGATCCGGAAGTTTCCGGAGATCAAAGGTCCAGACGTTTAAAAAAATCATTGATCATAGTAGTTTCCGGAAATCAAATTTTCAAAGGTGGAACTTAAAAACACAGTTTATTTTATTTGTTTGTAAGGGGGTGCCAAGAGATACTTTATAAACTTATATTCATGATTAATATTCATTTTTGATCAGTAAATAGTTATTATAATCAGAAACTCAAAAAAGAAAGACATATTTATAAATTTCAATTACTTCTCCAGGTTATCATAGGTATGTGTAAAATTTTAAATATATTTCATATTTTAAATAAAATAGGAAATATTGAGAAAAGGAAGAAAAAAACCTTGTTTAAATTTTTTTCAATTTAAACTGTTTCTTTTTTTCTTTTTTTAAACTTAGGAAATTTTCCGGAATTTTGACTTGGGCTCACAATCACCGCTGGTTAATGTATATAGTGCTTAAAAAGTACTTAAAAGTGCTTATTTTTTGTTGAGAGATTTGGCTACACACCCTACTATAGTTTCAAGAAACTCCTGTAATTATAAACCCATCTTATTCCTTCATACTCTTAATGATACTTTTCTATAGGACGAGACACCGAAGGGAGAAGATGAAGATTCAGATGCAGATCTGTGCATGGAAGAAAACCTTCCTTATAGTGATCGCTCAAACGGCCATCCAGGTATATCTACGGTATGTATAATTATTGGCATAATTTTTTAAAAATATATTTGCTGATGACATTTATGCAGTTATTGTCCCTATCTACAAATAAATTGCAGTTAATCTTTTCAATCTGTTCTTTTTTCCCCAATTAAACCCATCTCTTCCAACTTAAAGTCAATTTCCACTTTAATGATTTTTAAGCTACCCAGATGGTGTGGTGGGCACTATCGTCATCTACAACCCCTTTGGCTATGGTTTGATTCCCTTTGCCGAAGATGAGCCGTTTGATTGGATTGCACTTCCTACGATAATATCTTAGTCATGTCTATTGTAATAACTGGCAGTTTTAGAGTCAAAAAAGTACATTCACTGTTGTGCTGCTGAGAAGTGGAATGCTGAGGCCATCTGATTACTACCATTATCTGCTCTTCAATCTAAATTATGGTAAATTATTGCATTCATGTGCCAATATTGTTTTTTGGGTCATCATTAAGGATGAATTTCAGGCTGTCGCCTATAAATCATTTTAGTGTTAGCTTCTATCAATTTCCGTGCTTTTTGAATTTGATACCATAAAATAATGTTAAATCACAGAAAAGCATTTTCTACTCTCATATAACTTTAAAAAAAATAGTTTGTTGTTTTCAAGATGCAAAAGACATGATCAAGTGTTTTTTTTTCTATAATCAATTGTAAGTTTTTCATATGTATAAAAAATTAAGGACTGATAAGAAGAAAAAAAAAATAGTTACGGTTCTCTCTCCTCCTAGCTAGTTTCTATGACCACCATCTGCTACTCAGTTGTGCTAATTTCTTTTGTCTTCCTTTTATTAAATATTCTCATTATTATTTTTTTGTTTGGATTCATGTAGTAGGAGACAAGGTTATACTAGGTTCAATTCCTAGGATTGGTTGTAAGTTAGATCAAATTATAATTGCTGTGAGCTGACTGTGATTGGAATCAAACTTTGTTTCATTTGTTGTTTCATACATCAGATTTAAGGTTACTGAGGCATTTGGTTTTTCAGTTACTTTTTGATTGTCTAAAGAATATAATAAACCAGGATTATGTTAGTGATACTGGTTTACTAAATTACTAACAAAGGTGCCTACTATGAGGTTTTTTATGTCACTTTATGATACGAAACATAAGTTTTCCCTAAAAGTTTAAAAATTTTCTAGAAAGATACTCTTATTATTTTTTTAATACGTGAATGTCCATCTATTTTTAATAATGATTTGACAAATTTAGAAAAATCTTTTCTTTGTTTAGGGAGGAGTTTTTTTTTTATTTGATAAATAAAATCAAAGCCATCCTTATTAAATTTTTATAAATTCTGATCTTTAATGTTAATAATACTGTAAAAAAATATTGCTGGTTCTATATTCTTTTTATCTTTTGTTAGCAATAGTTTTAAATGTCATTTTTTTGTCTTTATACATTCATTACTGTTTGTAAAAATGGAATTTGGTTGATCTTTTTTTTTTTGCTCTGGTGTGCTAAAGTGTTCATAATTTTATAATACAATATTATTTTCAGAAATCAAATTGATTTAACAAGCTATAATTTTTACTATAAAATAAATATCTTCACTGAAAAAATGACCTTTTTTCATTATAAAATAGATATTTTCCAATGTAAAAAAGATATTTCCCACTGTTAAATATGTATTTCCATCTATTAAAAAGTTATTTTTCACTGTGAAATAGGTATTTGCCGCTATAAAATGAATTCCCACTTTAAAAAATCTGTTATTAGTGTACTAAATAATGGAAATAAAAAAGCACACTTTCAGCTCTTAATTTCTTTAAACAAAAAATTTAAAGTGCATGATTGAATAGGAATGTAACGAATATTCGGCCCTTTTGACGAATGTTAAACCAAATATTCAGCAGGGTTTTTTTTTCCTTCCCCCCTTTTTTTTTTCTAAAATTTACAATTTTATGTTCTGTAAGACAAATGAAAGAGCAAAGTTTGAACAATTGAAATTAGATAACTTAACTAGATTAAAATACAGCAATGTTATAAGGTTTAATTCAGATTTTTAACGTTGAATTTTTTGTTTAAAAATTAATAACCATTTTTGTTTTGATTTTTTTTCTAGCTTTTTCTTTTTCAAAAACTTTTGTTTTCATCAATGTATTTATTATGACACTGCAATTAAGAGGGTTTCTATTATACTTAATTCTTTTTTCTTTACTTTCTTTCAAAAAAATGGTAATTAGAGAACTGAGATGCTCTGTTTTAAATTTTTTAAAAATTAAGCTCGATTTTTATTTTTACTATAGGCGTATTTATGGTGCCTCAGCATTTTTAGAAGCATTTCTAATAGACTATCTTTTTTAATATTTTATGAATACTTTTTTTTTCTGAAAAATAATATTTTTAGCATTAAAGTGTTTTCTTTTAAGAATTAGGGGTGTTTTTTTTTCTATTTCTCTTTTTTTCAACTTTACAACATTATTATTTTTTTTAATACTTGTTAGTTGGGTATTAGTTATCTTGAATATTTCTAATGGATAGCTATTATTGTTTTTTCCTTTTTACTTCATATCTATAATATTGCTAAATTTTGATTATTTTCAATAACTAAACTTATTTATAAATTTAAAAAATGTATTAATGATTTTTTTAGAAAAAAAAAATTGTTATTTGGCCGCCAAATATTCTGCATTCGGTGATTTTTTTTAGCTGAATATTCAGCTATACGGCCAATTCACTATTCGTTGCATCCCTACTATTGAACATGCTATTGCTTTCTAATCAAAGTTTTTTATATGTAGTATTTAAAATACTCTATTGTATATACAGGATTTTTTTCTTTCAAAACCAGCTTAAGTTTGCTGTATAAGCATAGACTTTGAGTTTTTTCATTGAAAGCTTTGTTTTTTGTTTGCAAGTTATTATGCAAACACAATCCTTCCAAAAATATTAGAGTTTCGAAATTTTTAATGTGCTATGTAGTATTTTTCTGAATATTCAGTATTTCTAGAAAACTGTTTTGTTTGTAGGTTGAACTGGAATTTCCAATAGTGTGCTCGTCTAAAGAACTCGGGTAAAATTCGATATCATTAAAAAATGGCACTAGTTTCACTTTTTTTTTTAGTAGACAATGAATTATGTTATTATTTCACTGTACTAGTTATTTATTTCACTGTACTTCTTTATTTGAATATAGTAAAGGTATTCACTGATATTGAATTTTGCAACTATGGTTTAAGTGATAATTATTTGTGCTTTAGTTTAGATAATATTCACTTTGATTGAAAGAAATCATAACTCTCAACTATATTTGCATGACTATTCCCTCCCCCCACCACTATAATTACATTTATTCTACAATGAGCAAAGTAATGCTCACAAAAAATTATTATTAACTCTTATAAATACTTACAGTGATTACTTTCTACTATGAAGTCAATATTTTTCATTAAAAAGTAGATATTTTTCTTCAAAAAATTGTTACTTCCTACTGTGAAATATATATTATTCATTATAAAATGGATACGTACCTCTGATAAATAAATATTTTTTTACTATAAAGTATATATTTCCCTCTATGAAATCAATATTTCCCTCTATGAAATCAATATTTCCTATTATAAAACACAAACTTTCCATTATCAAGAGTTATTTTTCAGTTTCCATTTTGAGAATACAAAATTCATTGGCAATTTGCCATCATCGATGCAGCAGAAAAATACCTTTGTTATAATACTTTTGTTTGCTTTTGAAATTTTAATTACAGAATTAATTGTTATAATTATTTGTTAAAATGTACTACTTGTGTAAATAATTCAACTTTCAAAGAGAAAAACATTCAAAATTTGATATTTACTGCATCACAAAAATTTTGGTTCTAATAAAAATTTACATTGTGCAAATTTTAAATGCAAACCATTCAAACTAAAATTTACGCTGCACAGATTTTAAGTGCAAAGTATTTGAATTATACATGCATATGCCAAGTGAACTGTCTGAACTAAAGTGCAATTATATAATCCCCCTCTTAAATTAAATTTATTGGGGGAATTGAGAAATATTGCAACATTTTCAATTTCAATGTATAACTACAATCACATTTTTTAAATTTATATTTGTAGATTGAAAAATGTAAGTGTTTTTAGTTTATTTTTTTAAAAATCTTCATTTATATTTATTATTTTAGTTTATTATTTGCTTTTTGCATGCACACTGTTTTAATTCTATTATAGCTTCTTTTTTTTATTTGCTTTATTTCTGTTTTTAGTTGACTATTAGTGTAACACATGCAGCAAAGGATATTAAAACGTTAGTATTCATTTCTTTTTTATGTTGCACTCTTTAAATTGTGTTTTTGTTTTAGGTTGTGTTGTTAAATACAGTGTGTTCCATAATAACTGACCTTATTATGCACTTTTATATTCTCTCTGTCAAAAATGAATTTGTAAAAATATACACAAATTAATATTTAAAAAAGGAAGAAGCAATCTGTCAAATAATTGGAGGGAAGTAGAAATCAAATTGATTGTCTAATGAATCTGAAAGGTGATTCTCATTATTGCCGTTCGACTCCTCTATGTTTCTTTTTTGCAATTGAACAGTTTTCCTTGTCGTTTGTTGTATCTTCTGCAGCAGTGATTTCTTAAAATTTAATAGTATTACTGTTTTATTCTTAAATATAATTTTAACCGATGCATTTTTATCTTGTTGATTCTAAAAACACATATTTATAGTGATTATGGAACGCAGTGTATGAATTAACTCAATCCATTCTCTCCTTTAATTTTTTTAAAAATAAATTTGTATATTTTTTTAAGAGTTTTATGTTATTTCTTTAACTTCTTTTAGCAAATCTGACAGAGAAACAAATGTAGCTTTATCTTTTTGCCAAACTTAGTTTTAAAATAAATAAAAATTAAAAAATTTGTTTAATAAGTATGTTTAGTTTTATAAAATATTTATTATTTGATACCCCTTCAATAATTCAAATTGAAAAATCAAATTTTTTACACCCTGTTTTTTTACGAAAATAAATCTTCCTCTAAACCAGGAATGCTGACCTCTGTACATTTTCTCCAATACAAGTTTTTTCTTAATATTTTATTCTTGTTCGAAAATCAATCCACTTTTTCGGTACAAAAAGAATAAAATTTGTAATGTTATAACCTCACTCATAAATCTCAAGTGTAACATAGAATTTTTTTTTTAGAAATTTGATTCTATTTGTCAATTTATTCTCCTTTAAGAAATCCTGATTCTTTGATTTATTGCAACGCTCCTTTAATTTTTCGATGCATTTTTTGTAAAATGATTTGTCTTTGCTGTTAAAATAGGTTTCGATTTCTACTATCACTTCTTCATTTGAGCTCAATGTCTTTTTTTGGGGCATCTTTTCAAAATTCAAGTAGTCACTGTTGGTGGGAAAACAACTCAAAGCATAATTCATTGAATTTAATCATCTATTTCATTGTTTCGTGATTTGGGGCATTATCTTAATAAAACGGACATATTTTTTTACATGTGAGACAGTTTTTTCTTTTTTGCTTTCTTCTCTTAATCAATCCAATACTGTCATGTAATATTATGCATCAATAGTTTTATTTTTCTCAAAATTTATTAACGAAATGCCATACAAAAATACGGATGCAAAAACGTGCTGACTTTTGAGTTCTTGTTCACTTCGTACAACTTTCGACTACTGTCCACTCGGTTTAGATAAAGAGAGAATCTTTTTGATTTATGTATGCAGTAGTGGATCCATGTTTCATCCATCATTTGAGCAGTTCCAACCAGCTCTCTGAATTGTTAACATGTTTTTGGTCCAATAAACTTTCATTAAAACGTCATGAAACTTTCATTTAAAATTGCAAACACACTTCTGATATCTGAGAGGTGTCAGCTATCTCCATCAATAATGGTTTTTCGAAACTATTTGTAGATTAATTTTTTATGTTTTCTGGAACAACTGCTGATATTGGGTGACTAGAGCGCTCAACACCAACAGAGTTTTTTAGATATTTAAATTCAGCATACCCAGTCAATAATAGTTGGTTTTCTTGGTGTTAAGTCTCCATAGCATATCAAACCACTTTTTGGCTTCAACAGTATTTTTCCTCTTCAAAAAAACAATATTTAATAAACTCTCAATATTTCTTTATACATTTAAAAAAAAATATTACAAAACTAGGGTCAATAACACCACTAGTAATCTCTTAAGTAATTATCAGAATGTCATGATTTTTTCATGTACCATTTGAAAGGTGCTACTATCCAGAAATCATATGAGTGTGTTAACAGTGTTGTCATAAATGTTAGACAGGAGACTTATTGAGTGATGTGCTTGTGAATTTTGTATCTTGATAAATAATTAATTCTGCATGAAAGAAAATTTAGTTATAATTATAACTATTTATATTAACATATTTAGTTTAGTTATAACTTCCATGTTGAGTAAAATTATTAAATTTTACTGTGCATTAACAGTTTGAAAATTATTGTTTGTTAAAATTATAAAGTTTAAAATATTAACCTTATTATAAGTATTTTTTATTGATTTAACATTTTATGCAATATTTGCTATTTCTGAAACAAACCCTGCATTAATATTCTGACTGACAAACCCTTCATTTTAATTTGTGTAATTCTGACTGACTAGAAAATGAGTTTCACATGGTTAATTATTAAGAAAGTTTTTTTCAAAATACAAAAGTTCAAATTAAAAATTCCTAATTGCAAAATTGTTGCACCGAAATTTATTCACCCTGTTGTAAGCTACTTGATTTTTTTGTTGGTAGATTTTTATGAAAACTTTAAGACTTATTTGCACAACATTTTTTAAATAAANTTTTTAATGCGAGAATATAAAAAAATATGCGAGATTCTCGCGTTCTCGCGCTGTAGTGAAAACACTGTATGAATAAACATAAACAAATTTGAATTTGCATGCAAGAATGTTGAAAGTTATTCTTCTTATAAAATGGTGACAAAAAAAATTTAATTTTTTCATTAGATCTTTGATACTTAAAATTTCTGTTTGCCTGATGTTTTTTTAATAGTGTGTTTAAAATTATAAAAGAAATAAAAATTACTTGACTTACTTAGATTTATCTGACAATTTTTAAATGTCCTTGAATTTTCTCCCATTAAGGCAAAAATATAGATGTTAACTAAATTTATTTTCTGATCGCTATCTTAAAAGAAAAAAAAAATTAATAGTTTAAATTATTTACATAATTATTGAAATGTAATTTTTTTCTTTTGTTTGTTTCAGAATAATGTTACAGTTGCTATGACAAGCGTAAATCAATACCCAGTTTCTGATTGGTTAATTTGTAAATTTTGTAAAATATATAAGCGTTTTTTTTTTTTGTTTTTTTTTACCTTTTATGAATTATTTAAATTTCCATAAATTCAGTAAATTAAACTTAAACTACTAAAATGTTACTTTTTTTATTGTTTTCAGAGAAATTTTTACAATTGCTATGACTCCCAAAAATGCAATAATTACATAGCGGGATTTAAAAATTATATAGGCCTTACCTGCCCGGGAAAGTTACTAAATAGAATAGATAAATGATACCAAAAGGGAGGAAAATAGTTTATTATATTTTATGAGCCCAAAATGTTGTATTTAATTATATAAATAACAAATAAGTAAACAGAATTAACTTTTTTTTTTTAATTTTCCTAAACTTACTAATTTTTATGAAAAAAAAAAAAAAAGATTATCCCAATCGTTGTGCATAGGAAAATAATTTTTTCAAGAGTTTGTAACATTGTTTGAAAATTACACGTTGAAGGGCATGTACTTGCCAATAATACTTATTAACTGATAATATTACTTTTTCATACAGTATAATGTACTACATTTACAGTATTAATACTTTTTCTTGCTTAAAAACTTCACTTTTAGTACCTAACACTTCTTAGCTAATAATTATACTACTGATTTATACTTAATACTAAAGTGATGATGTAAATAAAATGTTATTATATAAGTTTTTAGACAAATTAATTGTAGCTGCATTCATATTTTTCATTAATATACATTCAAAAGAGATGTTCGAACATGTAAAACTTTCCTTCTAACTGGTATTTTGCAAAGAACATGTAAACATTTTAACGTTTTTTTAGTTTGCTATATAGAAGCATGCAATGTCATTTCAATGTCTAAGCAATTTGTTAGTTCTAAAAAGGAGAAAAAATATAAAATTTAGAACATAATTAAATGATTCATCATTTCTTTTTACTTGTTATACATAAATAGTACTTAATATTTCTTATATTGCATTTAACAGTCTAAATATCTTTACATAATATAGGGGGCATCCACAATAGAGGGTGAACTTGGAATCGCTGGACGACTGTCGGAGTTTCCGAATTCTCGAGTTCGTATTCCTGGGCTGTCAGGCGAATTTGTTTGAGTGATGTGCTTATTTATTGTACTTTCTGCATGAGCAATGTCAATTTATATGTGTTGCAATAGAACAGGCACAAACTGTGCACAGAATATGTTTGAGCAATCATTAGATTTATTATTTAAAAGCCTATTGTATATTTTTGATATGATATTTGTTGTCCTTCATCTTCACTGTATAAAAAGTTTTTTCTCTTTTTCACTTTAATAGCTTTTTTGTGTAATGTTTTGTAATATATGTATGTTCAATCCCCTATTGTCTGTCTTTACTTGTAATTTGCCTATCCAGATGTGGTTTTCTAGTAGTTAAAAAAAAATTCCTTTTATTTGGTTAATAATTTTATTTTGTTCCTATAAAAAAGTTTGCAATAGTTGCTCTGTTTCAGTGTATCCTAAATGAAAAATTTTCATTTTAATTAACAGTTACTAGCGTTATTTTTAAATTAATGAAATTATTAAGCAAATCGGAAGTGAATTGATTGTGGGAGTCATTTTTCATACAATTGTTTCAAGTAGTAGGAAACTGAAAGCGTGTTACAAAAGAAAATTAACATGCGATTACTAAAATTGTTTGTCAAAAAAATCATTAATCTTTTCTAATTTTTATCAAATTAGAAGTAGATATAGGTTATGTAAATTTTTTAAGAAATTTGTTTTTATTATGCTGTTTAAAAATGGAAGAAAAAGCAGCAAAATTATCTGGTGGTTTTACATTTTTCTTTATTTAACACAGGATAGTTATTTTAATTATTATGTAACTTCATAATCTAATTGTATATAGATTAATGTTATAACAGTTTTTAAAGTTTTATTATTTTTATATTTAATAAAGTTAAATAAACACTTTATATAACTGTTCTAAAAGGAGTAACTTTATTCTTTTTTCACCTAACAAAAATTTACTATGCAATTACCGAATAAATTAGAAATAAGAGAAAATCTGAGTTATAAACAGTTAATAAATTTCAAAATGGAAGATTTTTTATACTATTAACTAACACTGATCATTATAATCATCATATAATTTTTCTTTTAATTAAAAAGTGGGATAAAAAAATCAAGTTATTAAAAAGCTTGTTTTTAGTATTATTTTTCACTTAAAAAAAGTTCCAAATTATTGCTCTAAATGTTGACAGTCTTATATTTTGCTCTATATTTAATACAGGTTGACCATTTTTATCAGAATGTAATTTTTTATCAAAATGTAAATAATAAAATATTGCAGCAGTTTTCAAAAGAAGTAATATGTTTTTTAACAAGTTATTGGTAACTGTTCTAAAAATTGAACCTCACCTCTTGCACTATAATTAGGATTGATTATTGTAGCCACAATATATTATCTCAACAAATTGAGTTGAATTGAAAAAAAAGTTGCAGGTTATTGTTCTAAAATGGAAAATTGTGCATTTTAATAATAATGATTTTGCATTAAATTGTAAATAAAGATAGGCACAAAACATGTATTTTTAAAAATCTGATGTAATAATATTTGCTAAAAATAACATTTTTTAAAAAGAAAGTAAAGTTTTAAATATGTAACAATATTTTTATAATTACTGTCTAATTGTTACATGTATATTACATTAGCTTCAGAACAATTCCTAATTTATAACAACCATGTAAAGTAACTGCTATTTCCAATTATAAGTAAGTTTATAATTTAGGAATTAGTGAGTTATATTGATTTTAAAGTTATTAAACTGCAAACCATTTCTGGATAGATTTCTTTCATTGTTAATCCTTACCTTTTCTTTCTAATTGATTTCTTTGTCATACAATATATAATGTGAACTTTCATATCTATAACAGTTTGAACTCTGTGTGATGCTTTTATGTATGTTTATATATGAAGAATTACTTGTCTGTATAATATGAGGCATATTGCCCCTACTTAGTTTCCATTCGCTGTGATACTTGCATACATGTTGCCAGTTTATTTATTGTCTATTCAGAACGTGAAGTATGCAAACTTTATTACATAGGTTGAAATGTTGGTAGACAGTTAATTGCAGGGGGGAAACAATTACTAAAGATTTTTCATATTTTCTTCAGTTTCAATTATGAAATTTTAGAAAGTTTTTAAAAATTTTGTAAGATCTAATTTTCCGGTTTTTTTAAACAACCCTTTAGTTAATTTCTAATGAATTAGTACAAATCTCCACTTATTTTTCAATTTGGAAACAAACTCTTATTTTTTTATGGATCAACTTATTTATTTTCTCTGTAAATAAATTCAAACCAATTGATGTAAAGTGAAATAAACAAAGTTCTTTAGGTTGATACATAGTTTCCCTATACACACGTATCATTGATACATCTATATAGAGAAAATGGAATTTCAGACAAAATTTCTACATTTCTGATTACAGGATATTAGCTGGCCTAGACAAGATTTTTCAAAATGCTTATTGAAATTGGAAGTTGCAAAACTTTGGTTCTAAAATAAATGAAATGTAGTTAATAAAAAATAATTTATTGAAAAGTGGGCTTTAGATAGTTAATCAAAGTGGTAAACAGCATTCTTCAATACTTACTTTGTTTAAAAGATAAAATCCTAAACAAAGTTTGCATAATTCCCAAAATACTAAACCAAGTAAGCAGCTTCATGTGTTGCTTAAGGGTAAGGAGAATTGAGTCAAGTATGCAAAGTTAAGGCTATAAAAAACAGCTTTCAATATGAAACCTGAATTATCTTTTGGCAGATTTGCTGCAATGTAAGTTTAGTTAGGGATATTAGTTCAGTTGCATTACTATACTCTTTTCAATGAGAACTGGTAGTGCAAGACAACATAAAGGTTTGCTGTTAATCACCAAATTCCCTTTTACTTCTTTGCTGAGTCAGCAATTCTTTTTGTATTAACCGCTATTCAGATAAGTGATTTTGACGCCAAATTGCTGAAAGGTTATGCCAGTGCTTTTGGCATAACCTTGACACCAATCAGCCAACGGTTCTGGTTAAACAGAGTATGAGGATTTATTACTGATAGTAAAATTTACATTTCTGTTATCTCTTTTTTTTACTGTAAGATACAATTTTTATCTGCATTATAACTCTCTATCAACAAATCTGCCTATAAAATAAAGTTTATCCTTGAAAACTCTTGCTGCTTTACAGTTTGAGGCACTTTAATAATCATTGCTTAGTTACCTAACATTCTGACGAAAAGAGTGATGTTATCCGAAATGAGTGATTGAATGTTAAAAATGCAAAAATTATAATTTGTGGTTTTAAAATAAAATGAAATATGCATTATGAAACACAAATGTGCTGTTAAAAACACAGGATGTCTAGCAAAAGAATATCCGACATCAATACTAAATAACTCTCAAACGATTGAAGATAAAATGTGTATTGATAGTAAAAGCTGTAAGTTTTCTCTGTATGTATGAAATTCAAAGCCCTTGCTAACTAATTCATTTATAAGTTTTCAACTTCCCAAAGTAATCAGATAGCTAAAATTTGGAACATGTATTCTTTATGAGATAAATAGAAAAACTGAAGTTTTATTTTGATATTTTGTAATTATCTGGATAATTGGCCTTATTTTGCAAAATAACTCATTTTTTCTAAGATAAAAGTCTCTAAGGTTCTTTATGAGATGGGTAGAAAAAGAAAATAAAAGTTTCATTTTGATATTTGTAATTAAATGGTTTCAAATCTTTTAATTTGCATTTGAAATTCTAATAAGGATTCAGAACAATGCTGTCAAAAGTAGCAGGAAATAACATTGTTCCCCAACTAAAACGTTTATTTCGTATTAAAGAAAGGCAACCTGAAGCAGTAAAGCTATGAGTTCATGTAGGTGAAATAACTTGTCCTCTCAGACGAATCTAGTATATCAAAAAAAGATAATTGCCATACCATTTCAAGTACTCTGGTTTGTTGCTAACTGCTAAAAATGTTGCTAAATTCTGTACAGAGCTTTAAATGTAATCAAAAGGTGATAATGTAGGCTTTTATAAGTCTGTTTCAACGCCATCATTTCTTTACGATTACATCACTATCGGATTCCTTTTTTGTGTGTGTAATTAAAATTGATAATTATATACAAAAATCTTACAGCTTCTATTAATATACTGTTTATTTTATCTTCTTTTTTTTTTAAATTATTGCATTTTAAAATCGGAAATCATTTTCCATGGCATACACTGTATGTTCTTGCTAAACTGTACTTAAATGAGAAGTATTAAAGAAATTTCTGAAACTGATTTCTTATATAAGTCTGTGAAAGGTATAATTCTCCTTTAAATAATATTCATATTATTACATTCCCCATTAATTCTATATTATTACTTGTAATGGGTAGCCTTTTAAACCTTAGTTATTTCTAGTCTTAAAATTGCAAGTTTGAGTTAACAAACTTTATGTGGCGATAAAGTTCAATTATTTTTTTTGAATGTGTATAATTTTTTTGTTTTCTATTTTAATTATCACCTTTTAAGTTTTATATATTTTTGTTATGTAACTCAAATTGATGTAAAGAAAAATTGACAAGTGATGCCATTTTCTGTGGGAGTAATTCAAATAATACATAATCCTGTTTTGTCACATAATATTTCATTTTTTCCCCTTCTTGGCAAAAATAAGAAAATCCCCCTCCTGTAAATCAGTTCTGAAAAAAACTTTTGATAAATGTAACTAGTAACAGTTCACTTAGCTGAAATGAGATTACTTCTCTGTTTTAAGAATTATACAGAGAGTTCGAAAAGTATTAAAATGGTGTGATGTCTAGAGAAATACACATGATGGGGTACAACTTGAAAATCATTCTAGTAATTATAAAATGAAAATTAGAAATATTTTATTTCTAAAATAATCAAATATTTTTGCCAATAACTTCAAGGTTATAATTTGCTTTAAAATATTTTTTGTGTATAAATATGTGATTTTATAACAAAATGTTTTTGAAAACATTGCACAAATTTGTTGAAAAATATTTCTTTCTTTCGATAACAGAAAGGGCAATTCATAAGACGAAATGTCTATTTGTATAAATATATATGCCCGGTGACTGAGTGATAGCACTTCATGCTCTCTTGCCACAGGTGCTTGGATGGATCCTCAGGCCAGGCAAGGCTGACTCACTCTTTCATCCCTTCAGTGAGTCTATAAAATGAGTACATAGCATGCTTGGGAACTAAACACTCTGGGTTTCGGGTTCGGCTGACCACCCAACCGGAACATCCGCTCTTACACCCCTGAGCCTAAGGTCAAGAAAACTGAGATGGGCACAATGGGCCTTGGCCCTCTATGGGCTATCGTGCCAGTTAGTTTAGTTTACATATATATATATATGTTTAAGAAAGCTGAGAATTTATTTTAATAATTAAATATGCCAGACTGCATGTTTAAAAATATCGTTGGGATAAAACATACATTGTAATGCACAGAAAGCGCCGGAAGAAACCTTTACCCTATTAAATCTACCGTCCCAAAATAAGGACAATATATTAACAATTTAAAAAGTAAAAATATCAGAAAATATGTATTGTTAA